TGATGACTCCGTGGCGCAGTTGTCAAAGTATTTGTGTTGGCTTCGGCGCTAGGGGTAGTGGAATCAAAGACAGAACAACTATTTGTTGGATTTGTTCTCAGATAATTGGTTCGGATCTGGCTATTTCCCCATGCGCAATTATTGTTTGCAAAATGTTCTTTCAATACAGGGTATCGTTATGTTACAGTAAGGGCAAAGTTTTTATTTCTAAAAAAAGAATATAATTTGAATATAGGCAAAATAGTTCGTAACTTTCCAGTCTAAGTAATTAAACCCCTAATGAAATATGTTTATATGTGTTTATTTGCAGCTAGTATTATTTGCAATATTATTGCAATTAATTTATATACAATAAATAATATTAAATTTGCAATGTACAACACATCAAATAGCTACAACTACGGAAGTTTTAGGGCAATTTGGTTGACTACGGATGAAACATCAGCTGGAATACGGGGGGAAATATATTAAAAATGACTCCTGCTTGAAGTTAGTCGCGCCGAGCTTTAAATCTAGAGACGAAATCACACACATATTTGGTACAAATATTTGTTGACCACGCCAAAACGTAAATTTTTCCCGCCTGACAGCCGCATGTACTCTCGCTAACTTAGATACAATTTGAACTAAGTAGTATGTCACCATACGCTTAACGCAAGGCATCCGACTGAAAATCTGATAAGCCATTCTCAAAATCCAAAATCGTCTTTAACATGTTATTTAACATTCCGAGATTACTTTTCTGTCTGAAAATGTTATTTCTCAGCCGGATATATGTCTACCATATACGTTTAAAATAGTACGTTGCAAATACAAAATTAAATATTTGAATGACGCAAATGCTCCTTAAACTACGCTTCGTGAGAGTTGCAGCTTCGGACATAAATATGGGTCCTTAGACAGTCCACAGAAACAGGCTGCGCTATCGAGAGACATGTTTCTTCAGTAGAGGCCGACCCTGGTCTGCAATAATGCCTTTTACCGAACCTCGGAATGATTATTTTCTGATAAGTCAAGTGGGCCCCAAGAATAACTTCGAAGTAAAAACACGCTAATTAATCAAGGACACTTCTAGCGACCAATATATTTCCGAACACATTTTTACACAACGTTCTCTAGTCCCAAACTAAGCAATGCTTGTACAATGGGTACTAGATAACTGATAAACATACTTTTCTTTTGTAAATAAATACATATTATACATATATAAACACCCAGACACTAGAAAAACACTATGTTCATCGCACAATATTTTTCCAGTAGTGGCGGTCGAACCCACACCCTCTGGCGCAGGAGGGAGGTCCACTACCCACTACGCCATTCGGGTCGGCGATGATGAATGGAAGAATTCTTAAACGCTGCCCACGGGAGATGAGTTGGCAAAAATCGTCACTTAAGGAAAACCCGTTATGCCCCTCCATTCGACAATCAGCTGCCTCTCTGCCAGATCTTGGAACTAAAGGTAACGCAACAAATAAAACTCCCATTCCTAAATCGTTTCGTAAAGTGCTTTATTGCTTCTCTATAGGAAGTAAACAATTCGTTGGAACATCTTTGTAAACAATCGTATTGTTACAGTTAAACACAGTCGGCGACGGGTGACATATGCACAGATTACTTACGGGATTGCTTAGAACCGAAATCTACGTAAAAATAATACCATTAGAAATACAGAAAAAAGAAATATCGTCAAACGTTAACAGACAAATATAACTCCAAAATAAGTAATCGAAATCACTACGTACATTGTATAAGTATAATTTAAATACTGATTATTGTCAATCTTTCCTTTTTAAATACCTTCGCAGTGAACAAAGTCCTCTAAATATATAGATAAATTTCATAAATTTACAATGCGTAGCGAAGTTTACAGTTGGCCAAACCAACTAAAGTAACTTAATTTTAAAACATCAGATCAAATTAAAGTAAGTTTAATTAAAACTAGCTGGCAATACCATATAGCTAATTTCGTACGGTGAAATGTATTTGTGCTGACCGCTGTTTATTTATGGTAACTATTATATTCCGGCATAAAGGCATCATTCAGTAGAGTTCGACGATTATATTAATAATGTTAACGACAAACTATCGTTGACAGTAATTAAAAAGAAACAATGTTTTACTGGCAACAGACATCTACTGGTAGTGGTGCAACGTTTTTACCCTGGACGAAACGGGAAACTTTTTTAATCTACGACATCGTCCTTGAAACAGTCAGATTAAAGTTATGCGTGTCGAAAAACCAGTTGGCGTAAAGGTAATACTGTTTAACGTCGCTTTATCAGTTCACGCGTTCGTCGGATAACAGTTTATAATAGCAGTTGACAACGCAACGCCGATCTGACCTCCAGCGCAGTAGATTTGGCGCCCTCGACAAAACAACGCTTAACAACGGGACGATACGAAGATGCAAAATCATGCGTAAAGCTAAAATAATAATCTGCGAAGCGTAGTATAGCGTAAAACGTAACATAAACTCGTATCAAATCTCTGTACAGAAAAAACTTAACTAACTCTGTGCTGAAAAAAAAAAAAATCAATACAATAAAGCCTCATCACATGTTAATATCAATGAGATCGTGATATAACTGCATTTTAGGAGCACTAAACTTCTGGCCTGTAACAATCTATTGTTGTCGGTCAAATAATCATTTGAATATAATAATAATAATAATTTATGTACATTTGTTTTATGTATATTAATCTAAGTAGCTATAGTGTATTTTAGAGAAGTTTCTGTCGAGGGAAAAATAATAGGTACATAATTAGTTAAAGTGATTGCAATGTTTTTAAAATATATGATGAATATCCAATTTGATTAATTATAATGTGGTGAAGTTATTAAGGAGATATGTTACTAAAGGAATTGTACATGTTGAATACCTCAAGAGACAGATGTCTCTTAAAATCTATGGGCTGCAACCATCATTGTGAAATGGGTAAATGGTCGAAATTGAATATAACTTCAAAGAGCAGTATATTGCAAATAACGCGAAAAGGCAATCTACATCAAGAACCTAGCACCGAAGGTGGCATAACAAACATTCCGCACATATTGCGACAAATTGGCCTAAATGCTCAATTAATCACAAGTCAAAAGATTTAAACTACATACATGATATGATATTATTAAGGACAAAGACAAATGGATTACACAACTCGACACACTCTACTGTTATAATATGATTGTAAAGTCGCTATATAAAATTCTATATACCAATAGTAAATATACATAATTTGTATATAAATATTTATAAACACAACAAAGTTCTTCTATTGATCCCTACTTCCAAGAAAGTATCTACATCCTCATTCTAATGGGAACTATGTATTAATTAGATGATCTTAGTTTATGCACATTAAGGATATTACCCAATAATTATTATATATATATATATATATATATATATATATATATATATTCCCTTATAGAATACTGAACAGAGCAGAAATTTCTTAATGTTTACAGTATTCATTACTGATTAATATGAAACTGTCCAGTTTTTATAACAAAGTTCAACAGTAAGTACAGAAACTGCATTCAATTGTTAAGTGACACAAAAGTCGCTTTGCAGATTTAAAATACAAATGACAGAAGATTTGAAACAGAATCCTGCTGTAATATGCATGTCCAGGTTACTTTCCATCTGCTGTAGCAACTTTTAATAAACGTTGCTGAGGATACTATGCCGAAAAAAATATGATAGAAAAATATTGATACCTATTAAATTTAAAGAACTATAAAAAATTGTTTAAAATGTATAAAGATTAATATTATTAAACTATTAGTTAGTTATTGCAAGGTCGAATGTAACAGTTAAGAGTTTACCGTGACGTAAATTCGGACAATCTGCATTGACCCATATCGCAAACTATTGCTGCACGATTCAACAAATTAAATGCATTATCAATGTTGGCAAGTAGTTTATACAGGTTTGAATGGCAAGTTGACAAATAGAAGTATCATACACAGTATTCTTAACTTGCTAGTTAATTTTTGTGGGATATGCAACAACAACGACAGAAATAGAGCATTTAAAAGGGTGTTAAGTTTAAAATGTAATAGTTTATGTGTGATACATAGCAAAAGCTTACAGCTCACGTCTTTAGCACCCAAACTTCGCCACCACATATTTTAGAACAATTGTGAACACTTCCGTTGTATGAACTGTATGTCATACAAATTGATTATAATCCAAAACAAAAAAAAAACAAAAGCACCAAGTGGAATAGGAATAAGAGTTAGAGCGTGAAGGGGCCATGTTGAAGCACACAATTATATTAAAAGAGAATGATGAATGTTGCAAGGAATTAACATTTCAAATAAATACCTCCTCCAAAAGGATTGAGGTAGTTAAAATAATAAGTTATTTTCTCTGAAACCTTTTAAACAATTAATTGTCAATCGTCTGTATTAATATGACAGGCTTTTCCCCTGTCATCGCTCTAGAAGGCGAGATAGCAGTTCAGTAAACCTAGATACGAAATCCCACTTCAATATAGTCATTCTCTTACAATGGTAACAGTTTTTCTATTGAATAATGAATTAGTTTTACTTGATTGAATACTTGGAAATATTTAAAGAAAAGTTTGTCCCATTGGTAAGTCTTAAGAACGACTCTTTAACGGTGGTCTCTTATTAACCCTCTCTGATTACCTCTTTAATAGTTTTGTATGAACAGAAATAAACACTTTGAAATGATAGCAAATTTTATGATGGTTTAACAATATGTTTGGTAAACCAAAGACTATTTTGTTAATTCCATTCAACACTCGCACCATTTAACATTGTGATACAATAAACAAATAAAATCTTAACACTTTAAACTCGCGTCAATTTAAGTAAAAGTTTCCATTCAAACTACTTCCATGGCCCCATCGCGGTTAAAATAACAACAACCTCGTTAGAGCGATTATAGAGTCACCGTTGAGTGATTCAACTAAACAATTCCGATATATATAATACAAATAAATTAAATTTATCACTAGAACACAAATCAGTACGATTTCCATAGGCCCCGTATTGCTTTCAGTTTGGGCGACTTCCTAGTCGCCTCGATCTCCTGCTTCAGGCCGATCATGAACTTATCGCGGAGACTGAGCCTCGGCGGCGACGGCTTCAGGAGGAATCTCTTCAGGTCGTTGGTGAAGCTCTTGGCCGTGTAGTTGGGCTCGTCCTTGGGCGAGCCGTCGTTGCTCGACTCCAGGAACGAGACGGACTTATTCGACTGTATGGAGCTCTTGCGCTCTCGCTTGTTGCTCGGGGTCGATCTTGAGCGGGAGCTGATGGTGGCCTTGCTCGAGGCCAGGCTGTAGCTCCGCGACGCGAGCGAGTACTCGTCCTCCGCAGAGTCGAGGGTGTCCGTGCAGCGGCTGCAGATGTTGCAGCAGAGGCGGCAGTGCTCCATCGCGCCGTGGTAGCGTCCGTTGCACAGCACGTAGCCGCCGCCCCTCTCGCTTCTTCGCCTGCTGCGGCGGCGTCTGCACTTCGGGCAGTTGTTGCGCGCGATCCGGCGCAGCTCCTTGAGGAACTCGTAGTCTATCTCGAAGTACTTCGCGTCCGGCTCCGAGTAGTACTCGCGTCGCCGTCGATCGGGTCGCTCCTCCCCTGCCTTCTCGTCCGCCGCCAGTTGCCCGGGTCGGAGTGGTAGCGCGGCTGGCCTTGGGGGCGGCGGGGGCGGCGGAAGGTGACGCACTTGTGGGGCGGCGCCGCCGCTTCGGCGGGCGGTGGGGGCGCGGGGGGCGCTGGGGGAGGAGGGGGCGCGGGGGGCAGGGGTCAGGCCTGCACGGAGGGCACCCACAGGGTCTTGTTCTGCTCCTCCTCGACCGCCTCCTTGATCTGCGTGCACATGTACGCGATGTTCACGCCCGCCGGGATCTCCGCTGCAATTGGAGCAAAGTTGGGACTGTTAGGTGAATGCATGTAAGTGCTTACATGATTGTATGTACCTTCAAATGTTAGTAACTGATAAGTATACTAAGTTTTTTTCTTCGGTAAATAAATAAATATGGTAGATATGTAAACACCAAGATCCTATGTTCTCGGCGAAATATTATGTTCGTCACACAATATTTGTGGAGGTAGCGGGAAAAAAAATCAAACTGTGTAGATTGTATCCATATATTCACATTGCTTTTGTATTAAAGAAATAGGTATTAAAATTTAGTTACTTTTTGGTTCAAAAACATGCTAACTTACCCGATATATAATTCCTATATTCGTTTTCCACTTTCAGTCCGTGCTCATACATTTCCTTGGCGGCCTTTGCGGACACTTTATCCGCCGGGTATCGTGTATCTTTGACTTCTTTGATTTGCTTGAACGATTTGAACTTTATGAACAGGACGATGGGGTATATTTGATGCTTGTGGAGCTTTTCTATCGTTGAAACGCTGATGTCTAGGATGCAGTGTATGCCCTGAGGACAGGATAGATATTGTATTTGTTTATATGAATTTGTAATTACTTATTTCGGTCAGCTTGAAGGGCCAACTTGCCGCATTAAATGACCAGCAGACTAAGAAATGGGTGTAGCTCGTTTCGTTTCGTTAATGGTTCTAATGATTTTTGTGGTTAGTGGTAAACCAAGTAAACTTAATTTTGAGTGATTACAGCCGTCCATAGGCAGCGGTTAACACTTAAGTTCAGGTGAACCACCAGCTTGTTGTCCATTTTCTTACATAAACAAAGAATAACTGATAACATTTCAAAGTATAATTCGGATGACGTTGGTTATTTGTACCTTGTCAGCGAGGTCCCGCACCGCTCGAGGGTCGGGCCTGGCGCGGGCGAACACGTGTGGCCAGTCGGTGACCAGCTTGCCGGCCACACATTCCCAAAGGGGGCCCAGCACTGCCACCGGCCGCTGGCTACCATCTGCAACATTGCATCAAACATTTTTAGAGAGACAGTTTGTACTCGCAGTCTCCTGCCTCGACAGGTATTAATTTGTGAGTTGGTAGTAGGATTATGACTTTACGACTTTTGTTAATGGAGTTTGAATAGTTTAAAATTTGTGAACATTCAATGTAAGTTATACGAAATTAAAAAGATAAAATGTATGAGTATTGTCATTCTGATCATTAAGAAGATCATTCTGATCAATTTGGAGAATATAACCATGCTTTTGGCAACTTAAATAATATTTGAAAAGCCATTTGACAACTCATTAGTTCACTTCTACGATGTTCAGTGTTTCAGAAATCGGGCGTGAAAGCTTTCGTTTCTCATTTTGTAATCTTCTCACTTGAATCTATCTGACTTTGAAACTTCTGACCCCCAAATGCGAGAGTACATCCTAAGTGTGGTATGCCGTAATACCCTCTGTGCAACCCAGCAGTGGGGCAAATAGTGGCTGTTTCCTCCGATTGATTTTTGACGATTCCAAAGTAGGAAAGGGGAGCCCCCGAAAGCGAGACACTCACAGTGCAGCCTCTCTACTCGCTGGTAGGAAAGCGGCGGCGCGTCGTCCGCCAGCGTGCCCGAGTCGCTCCAGCAGCCCAGCTCGGTGTTGGAAAAGGAGGCCAGCTCCTTGCTGTCGCGGTGCTTCTTGCGGCGGAAGAAGGAGCGGCGCGCCGTGCTGGAGGCCCGCCGCTGCGCGTCGCTGTCGGCCGCGCCCCCCGAGCGGCGCAGCACCTCCTCCACCCTGGCCAGGGGAACGGTCACCGGTCAGCGGTGGCGCTGTTGCACGAATGGGCAGGCCCTCCTTGCAGTGTTACACTTCTACGTTTCGTCTGGTGAGTGAGGTGGCCGGGGCCCACTTTATTTAAAGGTGGCAACGCATTTACAACCCTACTAGTGTTGCAAATGTCCATGGGCGACGGTTATCACTTAACATCAGGTGAACCGGCAGCTCGTTTGCCACTTCCTCACATATTTAAAAAAAATGTCACTTAATATCACTACCTACATACTATAAAACAAAGTAGGCCCGCTGTCTGTCTGTCCCTATGTATGCTTAGATCTTTAAAACTACGCAAAGGATCTTGATTCGGTTTTTTTTACTAGATAGATTGATTCAAGAGGAAGGTTTATATGTATGACACATTCCACCCGTGCGAAGCCGGGACGGGTCGATTGTTTAAATATATAATTGAGTTTAAATAACCTTGGTATACGGTGTTGAATGTATACTATGTATATGTATACTTATCTGTTCATGTGTAATAATATTTTTATTGTATCAATTTTTGTACATTTGTTTGTATGCCTATATTATGTATGCCTATGTCTATACTATACACATGGACAACCCAATTGGCGTAGCGGATAGTGACCCTGTCTCTTTCGTCAGAGGGTGTGGGTTCGATTCCCGCTACTGGTAAAATATTGTGCGATGAACATAGCGTTCATTGTGTATTCATTCCCAAAAGGCTATGGGTCACCCAGTACCCGTAGGTATTAAAAAAATATCGGCCCCCTACTTGAACTTGCTGGGAATGGTGCCCCAGTGGCGCTTGACGCCCTTGCCGTCCAGCTGCCAGGCGCGCCACAGGCCCGGCGCGCCGTTGAACAGCGTGTTGTCCACGAACAGCACCTCGTCCTTGCGGAACCACAGCGAGTACTCGTCGATGGTGTCCATGCCCGCGGAGGTGATCTTCGCGCAGCGGTCGAAGCCGGCGCGGATGTAGAACGCGTCGCCCGGCTTGTCCTTCGTCTCGTGGTACTGCTGCAGATCGTGCCGCACCAGCACGCTCACCTGCGGACGCGGCAGTTTCCTTTTTGTTCAAATTGCCCGAACTTCACTCACAACTAACGGTGGATCTCACGAATGGTCGTTCCGTGTGGGGGTGGACGTATTCATGTGAAGATAGAAATATAATAACCTAAATCTGGCAAATGCCGCTGGCGGAAACTAAAGTATTTTTATTGTTTCGCGAATATGGTATGCATAGGCAGTGGTGCATGTTTACTATCAAGTTATGGATGGTATTTTTTTAAAATAGTTTTAGTAGTTTCTAGTAATGTACCATCCTATATTGAGAAGTGATTGATGAGTTGTTTTTTGTAGTGTTCATTGTTTGGGCAAGTTTACATTTATTTGAAAGTTGTTCATTGAAATTATAGCACGCCCACCTTATCGGCCGGCTTGGCCAGTTCCAGCGCCGCCTGCTCGGCGGTGGCCCTCCTCAGGTCCACGTTGTTGTACTCCAGGATCTGGTCTCCGGTCCTCAGGCCGGCGATGTAGGCGGGCGAGTCCATCTGGACGCTGTGCACGAATATGCCCACCGCGTTGCCGCCCACCAGGCTGATGCCGAGGTCCGAGCAGTTGCGCATTTCGATGAGCAGGAACCGCGGCAGGTCCTTGTTCCCCTGCGGCTGGCGAAGGGTGGCGTCCGTCGACGGCTCCGTCCGCAGCGAGCGCTGGGGCCCCGGCGAGTTCCGCGGCGTGGGCGAGCCGGAGAGCGACACCTCGTCGTCGTGCGAGCTCTCATCCGACGAGGAGCTGCCCGGCACCTCCATCTCGTCCTTGTATTTCTCGGGGCTGTACTGCACCAGCATCGTGATCGAGTTGCCTATCTGGCGCAGCACGCTGGCAGCGAGGGTGTAGGTGGCCGAGCGCATGTTGATGCCGCACACCTCGAGCAGCTGGTCGCCGACCTGTAAGCCCACTTGGCTAGCGAGCGAGTTCTCGTTGACCGTGGAGACGAACACGCCGCCGCTGCTGGGCGGGCACGAGATCTGGATGCCGAGCGGCTGCTGGCTCTTGTCTATGTGGACACGGCGCAGCTCGCCTGGTAGCGGCTTGCCCCAGCCCAGGGCGCAGTACTCCGGCATCGAGTTGCGGCCGCCCTTGTGGGTCGGCTGCTTGGAGCCGCGGCCGGGGCTCAGCACCTCCACGTGGAAGGTGGGCATGGGCGAGTTGCGCTCCGAGCTCCTCTCTATCGAGCCGGTGCTCAGCTTCCCCGCCGAGCTCTTCGACGTGACGCTCGGGTTGGACGGTATGCGGAAGCGCTGGTTCTCCTTCTTCCTGGGGAAGGTGCCGCCCTCGTACGCGTGCTGGTACTCGCGGTTGGCCCTCGCCACCGGCTGGATGTCCGACATGTTGTGGGCGTGCGAGGTGAAGGGGTGCATGTCGTAGCTGGTGCCGATGCTCTCGCCCGACTGGCTCTGCGGTATGTTCGTCGGGCTCGAGAGGTGCGCGTAGCGGCTCGAGGAGTGCGGGTTCGAGTTGGCGAAGGGCCCTCTGTAGTACTGCGACTGGAGGCGGGACTGGGAGGGCAGCGTGCCGGTCATGGGGAAGTTGGCGGTGCCGTTCAGGCTGTCGGGCCCGAAGCTGTCGCTGTCCGACGGGTACTTGTTGACGGTGTTCGGGGAGGACTTCTTCGCGGGGTAGTAGTGGTCGAGGATGTCCTTGGCGGGGCGGCTCTTGGACGCGTGCTCGAGCGAGCCGGGCGACTTCCTCGCGACGTAGTCCAGCGAGCTGGGGCCCTTGGCGAGCGCGAAGTCGAGCGAGTGCGGGCTCTTGGGCCTGCCCCTGGGCGCCGGCCGGTAGTCCAGCGAGTCGTCGGACGGGTCGAGCAGCAGGCTCAGCCGGTTGGGCGCCGCGTCGAGCTCGTAGTCGCCGACGGAGGGCTTGTCCTTGGGCAGCGAGCGGGCGGGCGAGGCGAAGGGGTCGTGCACGGCCAGCGGCGCCGGCTTGGGGAAGTGGTCGACGGCGGGCGCGCACTCGACGGCCTTGTAGACGGAGTGGCGCGCCGGCGCCTGGGCGAGCGCGGGCGGCGCGCGGCCCAGCGGCAGCGGCGTCGAGTTGCGCTCGGGCGGCAGCTTGGTGGGCGGGCTGAGCAGCACGGAGAGCGGCGGGCGCGCGCGGCGCGAGCGCGCCTGCGCCACCGTGCCGGCGCGCGCCTCGCCCGGCGCCAGCGCGCCGCGCGCCTTCGGCCACGTGCCGCCGTTCTTCGCCTCGCCCGCGCCCTCCTTGTTCTTGCGCCGCGACCGCTTCAGCACGCTGCTCGTCTCCTTCGCTGGAAGCGGGCACGCGCTTTAAAAACTCTCAACGACCGCCGTAAAGTGGAGGTATTACACTTTAGCGTTTAGCCTGGTAGAGGCCCAATTTTCAAAAGGTTGTCAACGCGTCTGCAACCCTCGGGTGTAGCAGATGCCTATGGGCGGCGGTATTCACTTAGCATCATATGAACCGTCTGCTCGCTTGGCAACATAAAAAATCGCCATTCCGAAAAACATATTCAGTTTAGTTGAAGCAAGATCTGTAGAGTACGGAAAATAGGTTCACCTAATGTCAAGTTATAACTGCCACCCATGAACATAAGATGCAACTTGCCGTCTTTTGATAAAGTGGGCCTACCTCAGTCATCAGACAAAACGCAGAAGTGTAACACATTCACTTCTGCGTTTTGTCTTCACGCCGGTCTTCTGTGAGGTCGTGGTACTTACCCCAAAGGACCTGGCCATTATGTGCAACAGCCAAAGCTATTGCGTAGCCCTACCACAGTTAAATTAAATTCACTTACTAGTCTTCCCGTGATAACTGTCTATTACAGAATCCAATTCGGCGATAGCGTCAGTCTCTGGCACCTGAGACAAAACAAAAACACTTTAAACATTTAAAAATGAGATTTTTCAGGTAAACGAACAGAAACTTCAGGCCTAGAAAGATTTTCCAGGTCTTCGGGAACGTCTTCTACTGTATAAATTGACCAGCTTTTGTGTGAACAATTTTCGTTATAAAACCTTTCACATAAGCCACCTTAAATGGACGTCCAAGAATCGTGCGTTTCTTTTAAGACCTCTCTCTCTGTCTCACCTTGGTCGGTTTGTCCTTGGTCTTGGTGCGTCCGGTGACAGCCTCGATTTTGCCCCTGATCATGTCCCACGTGCCTGCAAAAGTCGACAATTTATATACACACACGAACACACCATCTGTCTCATTATCCGGGCTCTCGCTTTAACTCAATACACCAATTTTTCACGTGATCTCAACAGTGAAGGAAAACATCGTGAGGTAACCTGCATACTTTAAAAATTCAATCGCATTACCGATTTTTTTTATGTGAAAAGTTGAATGAATGAATGAATGAATGAATAAATACACTTTTATTATCCACCACAAATAAGAATATACATAAAAGTAACAATAGAACAACAAATTTATGCAATGTACAATTTGGCGGCCTTCATAGCGATCTCTTCCAGGCAACCAATGGCTTAAAGGAAACGTATACTACGTAGGTGGTGCAATAGAAATATACATAATAAATTATTAAAACAGATAGTCAGCGGAATTCCGGGTCGATACGGCTTACGGGCGTTTTCAATGACCTATCTATCTGTAGATTTGGTAACTGGAGACAAGAGTTTTGACGTAATTATAATGGAGAGATTTGATTACTGGAGATAGATTTTTGACGTAATTATAATGGAGAGATTTGATTACTGGAGATAGAGTTTTGACGTAATTATACTGGAGAGATTTGATTACTGGAGATAGATTTTTGACGTAATTATAATGGAGAGATTTGATTACTGGAGATAGAGTTTTGACGTAATTATAATGGAGAGATTTGATTACTGGAGATAGAGTTTTGACGTAATTATAATGGAGAGATTTGATTACTGGAGATAGAGTTTTGACGTAATTATACTGGAGAGATTTGATTACTGGAGATAGATTTTTGACGTAATTATAATGGAGAGATTTGATTACTGGAGATAGAGTTTTGACGTAATTATACTGGAGAGATTTGATTACTGGAGATAGATTTTTGACGTAATTATAATGGAGAGATTTGATTACTGGAGATAGAGTTTTGACGTAATTATAATGGAGATATTTGATTACTGGAGATAGACTTTTGACGTAATTATAATGGAGAGATTTGATTACTGGAGATAGACTTTTGACGTAATTATAATGGAGATATTTGATTACTGGAGATAGACTTTTGACGTAATTATAATGGAGAGATTTGATTACTGGAGATAGAGTTTTGACGTAATTATAATGGAGAGATTTGATTACTGGAGATAGAGTTTTGACGTAATTATAATGGAGATATTTGATTACTGGAGATAGACTTTTGACGTAATTATAATGGAGAGATTTGATTACTGGAGATAGAGTTTTGACGTTATTATAATGGAGAGATTTGATTACTGGAGATAGATTTTTGACGTAATTATAATGGAGAGATTTGATTACTGGAGATAGTTTTGACGTAATTATAATGGAGAGATTTGATAGCTGGAGATAGAGTTTTGACGTAATTATAATGGAGATATTTGATTACTGGAGATAGAGTTTTGACGTTTTTATAATGGAGAGATTTGATTACTGGAGATAGAGTTTTGACGTAGTTATAATGGAGAAATTTGATTACTGGAGATAGAGTTTTGACGTAATTATAATGGAGAGATTTGATTACTGGAGATAGAGTTTTGACGTTATTATAATGGAGAGATTTGATTACTGGAGATAGAGTTTTGACGTAATTATAATGGAGAGATTTGATTACTGGAGATAGAGTTTTGACGTTATTATAATGGAGAGATTTGATTACTGGAGATAGAGTTTTGACGTAATTATAATGGAGAGATTTGATTACTGGAGATAGAGTTTTGACGTAATTATAATGGAGAGATTTGATTATTGGAGATAGAGTTTTGACGTTATTATAATGGAGAGATTTGATTACTGGAGATAGTTTTGACGTAATTATAATGGAGAGATTTGATTATTGGAGATAGAGTTTTGACGTAAGTATTATGGAGCTAATGTCGAATACCTATCTACAGATAGAATATTGAAACCCGAATTATTACTTTAAAAAAAGTGTGCTCATTACGCACGTAAAAAGTTATATTTATTTAGTGTATCAAAAAATAACTTAAACATTAAACATAACTTAGACATTAATAACGTGTATAACTTGGGATTACGGGGTAAATGTAAAAAAGTTGTTATTGGTTGCCATTGGCAATAATGGTCGCTTTGCAACCAACATTTGTCATGCCGCTTTTTCCCCAACGCGCAGTGAGAAGGGGAACTCGAAATAAAAAAGGAAATTATCCATGGAAGCATTCGTGGGGCACCTCTCTCCTGGTGTATCTTCCCGTGGCTGCCGGCCGCCACGTGGTACACGTAGCGCCGGTCGAAGTCGGCCACGCTGTGCTCGATCTGAACCTGCGACGGTGGCGGAAGGTGAACTTATCGATTACTAATCCTTATCCTTACTTGTCCTTACTAATCCTTACTAATATTATAAAGGCGAAACTTTGTATGTACGGATGGTTGTTTGTTACTCTTTCACGTAAAAACTACTGAATAGATTTTAATGAAACTTTACAATAATATAGCTTATACATCAGAATAACACGTAGGCTATAATTTATAGAGATATTGTGTGAATAATAAAAAACTCATGCGAAGCCGCGGTTAACAGCTAGTATAAAAATATTTCAGAACACATTTTTACAAAACGTTCACTAGTACCAAACTAAACAACTAGTTTGTTATAAACTCTTGGATGCTGTTATGTACCTTCATTAATCAAATCTTTATTCAAATAACAGAAATAACAAAAATATAAGCACATTTGTGATAAATACAGTTCTGAGTCTGACCTCCTAAGTAGGTCATTTCACGACCTATTTATAGGTTACTAGGTACTAGGTGACTAGGTTTCAGTTAGTCTTCAGTTCGTTTTTGGTGAAATATTGATACTTATATAATTAACGGTACGGTAGAAACCGGCTATGTTCGGCTTTATAATTCGAAATATTCAGAAAGAACAAATTAAGCCTATATGAATCTTGTGACTAAGTTTATAAAGTCCGTTTTCCACTGGCATCGGACGGCACATACCTTGGGATCGGGCGGTGGCAGGAACTGTGAGCACGGCTCGTCCGTCTGCGACGAGAAGTTGACCATCTTGTCGCCGTACGCGTGCTCGTATGACGGCAGCCTGCACACGACAGGATGCGAATATAACTTGTGAACTTTATGGCCACGAGATAAGGCTCAAATTTCAACGGCGCGGCATCTCAGGAAAATATAAATATGAACATTACTGCTACGAGATACGGCTCAAATTTCAACGGCGCGGCGTCTCAGCGATGCGGGGACGCGGTAAACGTCGTGTTTGTAAACAAAACGCCGGGAGTCTGTTTTGTTTGTTTGTTTTTAAGAGTTTCGCAACACGGATCGCGAGCCGAGAATGATTGGATGTTACGCAAAGTATCTTTGGAATTGTCTTCGGGGCGCCTCTCGAGAACTTCAACGTTAAACTGGCATACTTCAATCGGTTAAAAAAAGTCGAGAAGATAACAAGACCACAGTTTCTTGCCGGTTCTTCTCTGGTCTGGTCTAGTTCAGTGAACCGGTGGTAGTTTTTTTTAAGGGGTGGGATCATATAGAGAATATCTAAGCCGTGGGCAATCGATTAATTATCACTATATTCTCTATGGAATCTAGGACCACATTCACAGAAACATCAGAACTTTAACCACGTAAAGTTTAAAAAAATCATCATCAGCCTTCTGCCCTTATATGGGCCGTTTTGTCTATGTTCTATACGACCAGCCGCTTGGCAGACATCAATCCTCCTTGGAGTACAAACACCCAGAGATCCGAAACAACTATCCGTGGGTCGCACAAATAGTTGCCCGTGTGGGGATCGAGCCCACGACCCCCGACGCGAAGCCACTGGCTTGGCAACGGCGTAACCGAATCATCCTTTATTTTACTTTCAATAAGAGTTTAAAGTAAACCTTTATGAAAAAAGAAATTTTGAATTTGACTTTGAAATTAACAAAGTATCTATCGAGTTTCACCACTGCATGAATCAACTGGATTCTAATCGGACTATTAAGATCGGTATAATACGAGGCAAAACTGCTAGTTATCAATTTGTTTTTAATCACAAATTGTTAACGTCTACAAACAGGCGTCACTGTCTTTTCATAATATTGAACCAACAATTATACGGTGTTTTGAACCACACAAGACGATTTAAGGCTTTTGAGTAGCACAAACAAAAAGCCGCCGTCACACCATAACAATAAGGTCTTTAATTATAATCTGTTGCAGCTTAAATAAAAATGTTCTGCAAAAGGAAAACAGTTTTGGAACACGCACGTGGCTAGTCTGAACTTCGAGCAACGCATGTCAAACTAAACTTAACGGAACGATAAGAACAACTCTTTATGAACAATAAAGAGTTTTCTTATTGTTCATCAAAATTGTCCACAAACAAATAACGGCCCTATGACATTCACTTTTACAAATTCCTTTTTCTTTAAAAACATTGCCCTTAGTTTATGATAACATTAATTTTGTAATTAGTATTGTAAGGACGTTTTACAAACATAAATTTCACGCGAACAAACACCCAGATGCGAAACAACTATATGTGGGTAACACCGGTCCCGAGTGGGGATCGAACCCACGACCCCGACGCCGAAGCCGATACCTTGGCAACTGCGCCACGGAGTCCTCGAGGTACCAACGAGGTAAAAACTCTCCGTGTCCCGATTGCAATATTTATCGCTTACAGAAAACTGCGCACACACAATTAACCGCCCTGTGCTAATCCAAATAAAGTACAAAGTCGACTGTGCCACTGCAAACTGGTTTTATTACGGTTCCAAAAGACCATCATCATACAAATATCAGCCCTCGGCGTGTACAAATAAGGTGCAAACTCGCCTGTTCCTGGGGTCGCAGCAGGGATAGAGGGGCCGGAGCACCGTGAGCAGCACCGAGTCGTACTGGCAGTCGTTGAGCATCGCCATCGCCTCGGAAACGCTCTTCACGCCCTCTAGCGACCGGTTGTTGATCTGCCGTCCACAGTACAGTATACATATTGAGTATCGTCCCGCTGTCTGTCTGTCCCTATGTTTAGATCTTTAAAACTACGCGACGGATCTCGATGCGGTTTTTTTTTTTACTGATAGTGTGATTCAAGAGGAAGTTTACATGTATGGGTGGATCGCTAGTATTATATAAATGCTGCCCGCCGCACGCTTCGCCGGGTCATCCTATCTTTAAGTCAAAAAATATAGGTTCAGGTTAAGTAATCACCAACATATCATGTACTAAATCCTTCTCCGAGACACGCGGCATCTTATGGTAAAAGTATAATTCCGATCGGTTCCGTAGTTTTCGCAGTAAAACTGAACAAAAATAAAAAACCAGCTCTCCATTTACTAGTACACTAGCAACCGGTTGCTAGTGGTTGAACAGGCCAGATAGAACGTGCCAAGTGTTGACCATTGCCCGTATCTGTCGACCCCGTTTGGATAGAAAAGGAAGTGAGATGTAGCTGTGTTATTCACTTACACTGACAACGCGATCACCGACGTATATGTTGCCTTCCTTGGCTGCAGCACTACCGCACGCTATTTTGCTTACGAAAATACCTGCGACAGAAATTTTGATTATAAGTTATTCATGTCCAAAAAGCGATCGTTAAATGAAAAGAAGGTTGAGACTCGGTAGTATAATCGTTTATTGAAATAGAAACAAACTTTTTATTTCCAAAAAAAATTGCAATTCTCTTCCCTAAAAAACAGAACTTGTTGACAATGCGGTGGTAGTCATTAATAAATGCGTCGTATACTTTTGAAACGCGTAAAATAAATGAGTTGCCCATAAATCACGCACTTTTTGTGTGATTTTAAATATTTATAATTTTTTTATATTAACTTTATTAATGTCTAGAATTTATTAAAAAAAAATGGATACACTTAGAAAAGCCTCCCTGTATAATACACGTAGGGGGATAAATTAATGGATTACAATTGAAAGTACATTTACGATACATTGTAATCTAACGATATGCCTGGCCATTAAATCTTGATTTTACAACTGGTTGAGGTTAAACTATCTGAAGAATTGTATGTGTAATAACAATCAAAACGACTAACGTATTAAAGGCATCGTATGTGTTCCTTTACAGTTTTATTGTTCATTACATTTATTTTATTATTCACCTTACTGAACATTTGTTAAACGTCTAAAATACATTAATTAGAATTATCATAGCATGCTGTAATGTCTGAACGTGTGTAAAGAATGTTTTTTTTAATGTGTACATATTGAAGGAAACAAGGGGCGCGAGGTTGGTATAGGTAGGGGAGATAGGTAGGGGGCGATAGGTAGAGGGCGATAGGTAAGGGGCGATAGTTAAGGGGCGATAGGTAAGGGGCGATAGTTAAGGGGCGATAGGTAAGGGGCGATAGGTAGGGGGCGATAGGTAGGGGGGTAAGGGGCGATAGGTAGGGGGCTATAGGTAAGGGGCGATAGGTAAGGGAGCGAGGTAGGGTCGTCGGGGAGGGGCGTAAGTGTCGCGGGGCAGGGGCTCACCGTGGTGCAGCGCGACGCCGCCGGCGAGGCGCACGAGGCGGCGCAGGCAGCGCGCGCGCTGCAGCCGCAGCAGCGCGGCGCCCGAGGCCAGCGCGCCGCGCAGCGCCGCCGCACAGGCCGCGCCGCGCGCCCACGCCGACGCGCCGCACGCCTCCGCCACGCGGTCCAGCACCCTGCGCACGAAGGACCGTTACTCTCGCTCACTTCAAGGCGAATATCGCACATACGCACACATTGTCACACAATTTACTTACACTAAATCCAATGGTAGTGGCCCAAAATAAGCGATTTAACCAAATACAACGTTAATAAAAACGCGTGATAGCTCAGTGTCCAGGGGGAACCGTGACAGTTTAGTAGACCAACCTGAGTTCGATCCCGTTCCGAAAATCGAATACTTCGAAGTCCGCCAATCCGCAGTGGAGTAGCGTGGTGGACTATGCCCTACTACTCTCTTTACTGAGGAGGACTTTGCCCAGCAGTGGGACATTTATGAGCTGTTACTTTACTACCAAATGTTTAGTGATCACTGGGACCTAACACTGGAGTTCTGACGCCATGTCGGCCCACTCACTTGATCTTGCCGTCTGCGATGGAGCCCTTCTTGACGGAGGTGACGTAGACGCTGGTGTCGTTCGGGTAGTAGGGCTCCTCTCGGCCCCCGGCCAACTCGAAGCCCAGCTCGCCGTCCTTGCCCAGTCCGCTCAGCTCCACCTCGATTATCTCCCACTCGAAATCCTGCACGGGATACATTCACTCTATACTGCCCCGTTCACAAGTGATGGAAACAGGTCATACTGATTATTGGCCGGTTAATATCATTTAAAAGGATATACAAAACAACAGTGTTGATAATATATTAAATCATATTTTGTAAATAATTTCTTTCAAATATCGCACAGAGCATACATCAAATAAGTGATAGAGTGATAAATGAATCTCATCCACGCGATCACTTTCCGTCTCCTTCTCACTAGTCGTTTTTCACATTGTCAATTTATCATTTACTAATTTCGGATAAGGTTTTAGTTCAGTGTCTACTTTTGTACTCTATTTTTTGAGTACGTGTAAATAGTATCTGAAGCCATATTCACTGAAGGGCACCTACGTAGGTGTGCGTGCGTGCGTACGTGTGTGTGCGTGCATGTATGTGAACACGGACACTGACCTGTCCGTCGTCGGGCGGGGCGAGCTTGGCGCGGCCCGGCTTGGCCTCCTTGGCGTCGCAGGGCTTCTTGTTGCTATGGCGACGCGCGTCCGCCAGCTCGCCCACCATCTGGTCACGCTCCTGGACAGACGGCAAGTGTTGCCATATACGAAAGCGCAAGAACAAAACCTCTCCACGTATGTGTATTGTGTTGTCTATTATTCATCTTTGTTTGAGGTCTATAGATTGAACCAGTGCTTTTTTTGTAAGCTGTTTTCATTTTCGCAATTTGTATTTAATCAGTCTTATGCTTCGCAACTGCGCCATGGAGCCATCTAAAGTAATACTACTATATCACTTTACTACATAATCCAAATTATACTCAAAGAAGGGCTCGTTTGAACATAGTCAAAGTTAGTTTTTATTATTTTTGGCATATTCCTCTCCCTAACATTAAACTCCATCACGACCTCTGCATCAGAAATGTTATAGAAAAAATCTCGAGAAGGATGAAAGCGTACAAGAAGCGAATCACTAATCATCCAAATATGCTGGAAGTCAACCTATTGAACACCTGAACAGTGGCTCGTACACTAAAAAGAAAGATTCCCCAAGACCTTCTCTGAGAGGCACATGAATAAACGGAGCAGTCACTGGACGGCTATCGTGCAAGCCCTTCTCATCTTAAACATATTGCCGAATATCTGCAAATTGATAGATTGCATATACTGGCATAAAAAATATATTCCCCTCCCGGTGAACTCACTTTCCGCAACCTGTTGCAGAGCGCTTTGACGCTCTCTCGCTCCTGCAACAGTTTGTCACGTTCGGCGAACGCCCAATCCCTCCTACGTTTCGAGACCTGGAAAAGTTAACAATTAGTAATCGTATGGAGACAAACAACGATAATTTGTGAAACGTAAACATAAACTTATTGAGAACTGCAATTACATATTCTACTAATAACATTAATGCATAAATGTGTACGTTAGGCCTTCATCAACTGTTACAGAGCAAGGTATAGATAAGATTTTTGACTTATGTACACATGTCCCAGAGCACAGTGAATTTGAATATGACTGACAACATACAAAGCGACAAGAACTTTCGAGATAAGCGCACGGCACTGCGGTACAAATTCAAGCATCAAAACGGCATCGACAGTATTTCACCAGTGTCGATTTTTTAAGTTAGTAGAAAAGTTGCCAAGCGAGCAGACGGTTCACCTGATGTTAAGTGAATACAGCCGCCCATGGACATCTGCTACACTCGAGGGTTGCAGATGGACAACCTTTTGAAAATTGCGCTCCGGCCACCTCACTTACCAGACGACCACCTCACTTACCAGACGAAACGCGAAAGTACTATACTTCCACTTTACGCCGGTCTTCTGTGAGGTGGTGGTACTTACCCGGATGGGCCTGCCCATTCGTGCAACAGCCGAGGCTGCTGCGTGGCCCTACCACCGTAAAAATGAGCCCCAAATAGCGTGGGCATAAAGGCTATTGGAGATGATCACCTCTGCTTCGCGCTGGGCGTCCGCCAGCTCAGCCTGGAGTCGGTCCACCTGCTTCCTCAGCCTCTCCAGCTCTTGGTTGGCCTGCTCCAGGTTGTCCACACGCTCCTTGTCCACGGCGTCCACCACCAGGCCCACCAAACCTGGACACGAACAAGTTCACAGCTTTTATCTAGTACTTATTTATAGCGGGTTATTAATGTTAGTAGAATGATTCCATGAATTTTGTTTAAAATGAAGTCACTTCTTGATTATTCTAAATATTTGTGTTATTTAAAAAAAAAATCATTAAAATAATAACTCAATAGATGGCATCAACATCTATGTAAGACTCGAGAGATTATAAATACATATGAGAGATTGTATGTACATCCCAATTATATAATATAACACACACAGCATCTAATATATTGTAGTAATTCTTCTGTATTAATAACAAAAGTATTACACATACAGGGAGATTTTTTGAGAAGTGCCTATTTACGCAACAGGTTCGGACTCGGTAGTATAATCGTTTATTGAAATAAAAAACAAAGTTTTTTTTCCAAAAAAATACCATTCTATTCCCTAAAAAACAGAACGTGTTGACAATGCGGTAGTCATTCATAAATACCTAAATTTAACTGTGCAAGAACTTGTGTGCGTGTTAGTTATGAATGACGCGCGTAAAATAAATGAGTTGCGTATAAATCACGCACTTTTTGAGATAGAGTTCAAATGAATGTAATTAATTACTTACGAGTGATTTTAAATATTTATCATTTTTATATAACATTATTTATGTCTAGAATTTAATAAAAAAAATGGATACCCTTAGAAAAGCTACCCTGTATATTACAAATATCTATTTAAGATAAAAGATCAATGCTAAGCTAAAATAAAATAATAAAAATCACTTTGAATTGTGAATTTTTGTAAATAAATTAACAAAATAATCCGGCGCTATGGGATTCGAACCTGCACACCTCAAGTATTTAGGTCAGCTTACCTTGTAATTTGTCCAATGAGGGATTGTTTGGATGTTGCCCGTTGAGGAATCCGTCGTTGCCAACGCCGCTCGCCAGGCCCAAGTGGTGATACCCCGAGTTGTCTTGCCTGAGAACGAATATAAAACCAAATTGTTACAGGTTAGGTACATTCGTCACTTCATCGTCAATGGAGTCGTGGCGTTGGACTAGTGTTACGAAAACCACAGGCAATACCTATATCAGTGATTCTCAACCTTTTTTTTGTTGCGGCACATATTTAAAGATTTCAAAATTTGGCGGCACACAAAGAAAAAGATAAAAATTATTTACTTACTACAACACACTGCATAAATAGTTTATGACAAAAATTTTAAATATACGAAATAAACTAATATATACTACAATAATAACTAAACGTTTATTAAGGGATTAATTACAAGCTAATAATAAAAATATTTTTAATGCGAAATTTGAGCTTGATGTTTTTTGATAATTTCATTTATATTTGGTCGTAAAAATGACAATGCTACTCTCATATCGTCTTCTACATTTAACAATCTTGATCTTTTTTTTAGGTTTAATGTTCGCTAATGCCAAAAAATATTTTTCTTTTTAAATGATATAATTTAATAATATTAACATTATTATATATTTGCAAAATTTGGCGGCACACAAAAGTGCCGCGGCACAGTGGTTGAGAATCACTGACCTATATCATTTTTTATTTGTCACATTTTTTATAACTCAACTAGCACAGTTGCTAAGATAAGCAGGTCGAAGTTAGAATCCTATCAGCCATAAGTATTTATTTGATCCAAAGCTTCCAGATCTGTGTTTGCTTTTTAAATGCGAAAAAACAATTTATTTATTTATAGAATGTAGATAAACACGAATCCGAAAGATTTGGGCTCGACTATCGGCAGCGGCGAAAAACTTTTCGTCCATTTTTTCTACAAATTTAATGTTAACATTGGTCCTTGCTTATACGAGCTCACGTGACCCAACACAATAGCGGGCGTGTTTGTGTGTGTATGCGTGTATGTGTGCACATATTGAACGGTCCAAAGGTACCTAGACTTCCCGAGGGTGGAGGTGTTCTGGGGCGTCTTCAAATCGGTGCACTCCTTGATGGCGCGGTCGCGGTCGACCAGTGCAGATTCGATCTCGCGACGCAAACTCTCCGCCTGCGGAGGAATGCCAGTTTATTCTAACGAACGGAAGAGCGATGGTCCATCTGCTCCCGTAAGGGCAGAGTAGAATAGGAGTCACACATGCAAGTCGTGACAGTTCAGTGTCCGAGCGATTTTAAGTCAATACACTGTAGCAGCCAGAGTTCAAACCCCTCAGGGGAGAAAGAAAACATCCTCCGAAAACCCACATATTTTTGAAGTTATGTGAAGCCCGCTGCGATGAGGTCGCGTGGTGGACTACGCCTAATATCCTCTGCACAAAGAAGCCCTTTGTCCAGCAGTGCACCTGCAGCTCGGCTAGCATCGAGCAAGGGAACTGTGAGTCTGACTTTGAAGTTGGAACTCGTGCGGAGTCCGAGTCGGGGCACCTGCAGCTCGGCTAGCGTCGAGCAAGGGAACTGTGAGTCTGACTTTGAAGTTGGAACTCGTGCGGAGTCCGAGTCGGGGCACCTGCAGCTCGGCTAGCGTCGAGCGAGGGAACTGTGAGTCTGACTTTGAAGTTGGAACTCGTGCGGAGTCCGAGTCGGGGCACCTGCAGCTCGGCTAGCGTCGAGCGAGGGAACTGTGAGTCTGACTTTGAAGTTGGAACTCGTGCGGAGTCCGAGTCGGGGCACCTGCAGCTCGGCTAGCGTCGAGCAAGGGAACTGTGAGTCTGACTTTGAAGTTGGAACTCGTGCGGAGTCCGAGTCGGGGCACCTGCAGCTCGGCTAGCGTCGAGCAAGGGAACTGTGAGTCTGACTTTGAAGTTGGAACTCGTGCGGAGTCCGAGTCGGGGCACCTGCAGCTCGGCTAGCGTCGAGCGAGGGAACTGTGAGTCTGACTTTGAAGTTGGAACTCGTGCGGAGTCCGAGTCGGGGCACCTGCAGCTCGGCTAGCGTCGAGCGAGGGAACTGTGAGTCTGACTTTGAAGTTGGAACTCGTGCGGAGTCCGAGTCGGGGCACCTGCAGCTCGGCTAGCGTCGAGCGAGGGAACTGTGAGTCTGACTTTGAAGTTGGAACTCGTGCGGAGTCCGAGTCGGGGCACCTGCAGCTCGGCTAGCGTCGAGCGAGGGAACTGTGAGTCTGACTTTGAAGTTGGAACTCGTGCGGAGTCCGAGTCGGGGCACCTGCAGCTCGGCTAGCGTCGAGCGAGGGAACTGTGAGTCTGACTTTGAAGTTGGAACTCGTGCGGAGTCCGAGTCGGGGCACCTGCAGCTCGGCTAGCGTCGAGCGAGGGAACTGTGAGTCTGACTTTGAAGTTGGAACTCGTGCGGAGTCCGAGTCGGGGCACCTGCAGCTCGGCTAGCGTCGAGCGAGGGAGCTGTGAGTCTGACTTTGAAGTTGGAACTCGTGCGGAGTCCGAGTCGGGGCACCTGCAGCTCGGCTAGCGTCGAGCGAGGGAACTGTGAGTCTGACTTTGAAGTTGGAACTCGTGCGGAGTCCGAGTCGGGGCACCTGCAGCTCGGCTAGCGTCGAGCAAGGGAACTGTGAGTCTGACTTTGAAGTTGGAACTCGTGCGGAGTCCGAGTCGGGGCACCTGCAGCTCGGCTAGCGTCGAGCAAGGGAACTGTGAGTCTGACTTTGAAGTTGGAACTCGTGCGGAGTCCGAGTCGGGGCACCTGCAGCTCGGCTAGCGTCGAGCAAGGGAACTGTGAGTCTGACTTTGAAGTTGGAACTCGTGCGGAGTCCGAGTCGGGGCACCTGCAGCTCGGCTAGCGTCGAGCGAGGGAACTGTGAGTCTGACTTTGAAGTTGGAACTCGTGCGGAGTCCGAGTCGGGGCACCTGCAGCTCGGCTAGCGTCGAGCGAGGGAACTGTGAGTCTGACTTTGAAGTTGGAACTCGTGCGGAGTCCGAGTCGGGGCACCTGCAGCTCGGCTAGCGTCGAGCGAGGGAACTGTGAGTCTGACTTTGAAGTTGGAACTCGTGCGGAGTCCGAGTCGGGGCACCTGCAGCTCGGCTAGCGTCGAGCGAGGGAACTGTGAGTCTGACTTTGAAGTTGGAACTCGTGCGGAGTCCGAGTCGGGGCACCTGCAGCTCGGCTAGCGTCGAGCGAGGGAACTGTGAGTCTGACTTTGAAGTTGGAACTCGTGCGGAGTCCGAGTCGGGGCACCTGCAGCTCGGCTAGCGTCGAGCGAGGGAACTGTGAGTCTGACTTTGAAGTTGGAACTCGTGCGGAGTCCGAGTCGGGGCACCTGCAGCTCGGCTAGCGTCGAGCGAGGGAACTGTGAGTCTGACTTTGAAGTTGGAACTCGTGCGGAGTCCGAGTCGGGGCACCTGCAGCTCGGCTAGCGTCGAGCGAGGGAACTGTGAGTCTGACTTTGAAGTTGGAACTCGTGCGGAGTCCGAGTCGGGGCACCTGCAGCTCGGCTAGCGTCGAGCGAGGGAACTGTGAGTCTGACTTTGAAGTTGGAACTCGTGCGGAGTCCGAGTCGGGCACCTGCAGCTCGGCTAGCGTCGAGCGAGGGAACTGTGAGTCTGACTTTGAAGTTGGAACTCGTGCGGAGTCCGAGTCGGGGCACCTGCAGCTCGGCTAGCGTCGAGCGAGGGAACTGTGAGTCTGACTTTGAAGTTGGAACTCGTGCGGAGTCCGAGTCGGGGCACCTGCAGCTCGGCTAGCGTCGAGCGAGGGAACTGTGAGTCTGACTTTGAAGTTGGAACTCGTGCGGAGTCCGAGTCGGGGCACCTGCAGCTCGGCTAGCGTCGAGCGAGGGAACTGTGAGTCTGACTTTGAAGTTGGAACTCGTGCGGAGTCCGAGTCGGGGCACCTGCAGCTCGGCTAGCGTCGAGCGAGGGAACTGTGAGTCTGACTTTGAAGTTGGAGGAACTCGTGCGGAGTCCGAGTCGGGCACCTGCAGCTCGGCTAGCGTCGAGCGAGGGAACTGTGAGTCTGACTTTGAAGTTGGAACTCGTGCGGAGTCCGAGTCGGGGCACCTGCAGCTCGGCTAGCGTCGAGCGAGGGAACTGTGAGTCTGACTTTGAAGTTGGAACTCGTGCGGAGTCCGAGTCGGGGCACCTGCAGCTCGGCTAGCGTCGAGCGAGGGAACTGTGAGTCTGACTTTGAAGTTGGAACTCGTGCGGAGTCCGAGTCGGGGCACCTGCAGCTCGGCTAGCGTCGAGCGAGGGAACTGTGAGTCTGACTTTGAAGTTGGAACTCGTGCGGAGTCCGAGTCGGGCACCTGCAGCTCGGCTAGCGTCGAGCGAGGGAACTGTGAGTCTGACTTTGAAGTTGGAACTCGTGCGGAGTCCGAGTCGGGCACCTGCAGCGCGGTGGCCCTCTGCTCGTCGCGCGACGCCTGCAGCGCCGCCTCGAGCGCGGCCACCCGCTTGAGCGCCGCCTGCAGGTCGTCCGACAGCTTCTCCATCTCCTTGTGCACGGTGTCCCTGAAACACGCCCTTCGCACCCTCAGAACGCGCGCCCGCTCCACAAAATGTCTTCTGCCGATTTATTTCGATCCGATTGTATCGATACGAAATATTCAATATCGGAATACGCAACAAAAACGATAGTTTTGTTATCTTTATTAATTAATATCTATATATCGATTTATTACTTCACTTTCGACATCCCTAGCGCCCTTATCCTTACTCATATTATAAACGCGAAAGTTTGTATGTATGAATGTTTGCTGCTCTTTCACGCAAAAACTACTGAATGGATTTAAATGGTACTTTACAATAATATAGCTTATACATCAGAATAACACATAGGCTATAATTTATAAAGTTACTAGCTGCTGCCCGCGACTGCGTAGAGGGGTGAAAATTTATGGTTGTATGTATTTTTGTATGTTGTATCATAAAAAAATATAAATTAAAAATTTTATCTAAAAAATAAAAAAAAGTTTAGGGGTGGACTACCCCTAACATTTAGGGGGATGGAAAATAGATGTTGGCCGATTCTCATAGATACCGGATAAGCACAAAAAATTTCATCACAATCGGTCAAGCCGTTTCGGAGGAGTATGGCAACGAAAACTGTGACACGAGAATTTTATATATTAGACAAGGGTCTCTCTCAAAATAACTCTATCTGTCTGTTACGCATTTACGACTAAACCGCAAGACCAATTTAATTAATTTTGGTGGTGTACTCGAAGTACTAATCCTGCGCAGACGAAGTCGCGGGCACCAGCTAGTTTTAAGTGAAACCTTTTCGTATCACACCTTCTATTCGTTATTTTTTGAAGTTATATGTACTTTTTATAGCGCGTTCGGGGAAAATTATATTTAAAGCGGCTAGTCAGAGTCACGTTTTACGGAAGGTAAGGGTACTTAAGCCATTCCTTTTTTTTTTCTTTACCCTCATTTATTTTTTCTATTTCTATTAAGTCATTTATTTTTACTTTATTAGTTTGTTCGCTTTTTTATTTTGAACATTATAATGGAATGTAAGATGTGCATACAAGATGTGTCGGAATAAATGTCTCATGACTTATATTCAAGAACCAGGAGGAGTGAACTCCAAGGCTCAGGAGATCAGTGATGAGGGTGCCTAGGCTTGGCTCACCTCTCACTCATGATCAGGGTGTACTCGGCCATAGCGGCGTTTCGCTCGTCCGTTAACCGTTTGATGTCTGCCCTCTCCCTCACTCCCCCCTCCCATTGGCGCACCACACTCGCCACTTGCTGTTTCAGTGCGTTCCGCTCGCGAATCTGAAACATCCCCAAAGTTTACATGCGACTTTAGTGAGTTACTAGGCCACGCAGCTTAGGCTGGTAGGGCCATGCAGCAGCCTCGGCTGTTGCACAAATGGGCAAGCTCGTCCGGGTGGGTACCACGACCTCAAAGTCAAAGTCAAAGTATATTTATTCAATATAGGCCTAACTTAAGCTCTTATTGAACGTCAAGAAAAATCTACCACCAGTTAACTAAACTAGACCTGCACGGAGAAGAACCGGCAAGAAACTCTGCGGTCTTGTTCTTTTTGTTATATATATTTTTTTTAATGCAATTATACACACTTATTTGGGTATAAAATCAGCAGCAGCCAGGGGTCTTGCAAGTGCAGAGCAAGAGTCATTTCCAAACATCCTTGTCCTCTATGTATTCTTGGATATTATAGTAGGCCCTTGCCATTAAGGTAGCTTTTACAAATAGTTTGAAATTGTTTATACTTAGTTGTTTGTGGATGTCACCTATTTTATTATAAAAGTTGATGCATCTTCCAAGAAACGACTTTCTGGTTTTAGCCAATCTAAACCTCGGTACTTCCAGAGTGTCACCACGGCCCCGACGCGATGTGGATTGTTTTTTTCGTAAATAGGTGGATATTATTACGTACATACATGATGTTCTCAAGTATGTAAAGCGACGGGAGCGTCAAAACGTTTATTTGCTTAAATATATGTCGTAGCGACTCACGTGGACCCAAGCCATAGACGGCCCGTATAGCCTGCTTTTGTAATACAAATATTGTGTCTAGACCGGATGCGGAACCCCAAAGAAAGACACCATAGGACATTATGCTGTGAAAATAAGCATAATAAACTAATTTTGCAGTTTCCTCGTTAGTTAGCTGCCTGATTTTGCGTATGGCAAAGACGGCAGCGCTCAATTTCTTAGCTAACTTATCTACATGTAATCCCCATTGCAACTTGGAGTCAACGCTTATTCCTTATTATTTATGATTACTTTTGTTCCCTGTCAGTAAGATATGAGGAAACAAAGTCAATGGCACAATTGCGAATACCACAGACCTCACAGAGGACTGGCGTAAAGTGGAAGTATAATACTTTCACGTTTCGTCTGGTGAGTGAGGTGGCCAGAGCCCAATTTTCAATAGGTTGTCAACGCATCTGCAACCCTCGGGTGTGTAGATGTCCATGGGCGGCGGAATTCACTTAGCGGGTGAACCGTCGTGTTTCACACGTGTCACATAAAAAAAATGTTTCTCGACCTTTATCCACTATAATATGCCTGTATACTACTGACAGCTAAAACGTTCTTTAAAAAAAAACTTACAACAGCATTCCTCTCCTGTGTCAATTCATGGCATTGTGTTTTCAAGCGGCTGTTCTCATCTTGAACACTTCGCAACTTTTCCAATGTTGCATTATGATTCTCTATGAGGTCATCATATCTGAAAAGGATAAACAATTGTGTTTATGTTCGGTTTTTTTTCGGCATGCTATCTCCAATAAGAATTTATCAAAAATAATTACCGAGGCATCCTTTTGTAGAAAATGTTCCTTTCTAAAAAGTTAAAGTAAACTAACAGCCTATAAATGTCACACTGCTGGGCAAAGGCCTCCTCAGTAAAGAGGGATCAGAGCGTAGTCCACCACGCGACCCTGCTGCTGATTAGCGGACTTTACATATTTTCGGAATAATCTTTTTTCTTATTTCGAAAATATGCAGGTTCACGACGTTTTCCTTCACCGCTGAGCATGTGATAAATCAGAGTTCATTTTGAATACAAGAAACTAGAGTTTAACTACACAACTTACTCTAATTTTTATCTCGTATAAATTGAAATATATTCATAAATTTTCACACGTGTTTTATAGACGGATAGGCGAGAGATCACATTTACCAATCTTCATATTTAAACCTCATTTTCCGCACTACCGTTTCATTTACTTCAATTAATTTAGAAATACATCTTAATTATCTTCGTATTTACCATTTTATTGCACCATCTTTGTGAATATCGGATATGACGTAAAAAACTAAAGTACAGTATCAGCCTATACATATCCCACTGCTGGGCAAATGCCTCCTCTGTACAGAGGGTATCAGGGCATAGTCCACCACGCGGCCCCACTGCGGATTGGCGGAATTCACATATCTTCGAAATATTTTTTTTTGTTATTATTTCGAAAGTACTCAGGTTTCCTCATGATGTTTTCCTTCACCGCTGAGCACGTGATAATTCAGCACTTTAAATTAACAATTTCATTGGTGTCAACACTGGGGATCGAACTCAGGTTGCTCGAGTGTATTGAATTAAAGGCGAGCACCCCAACACTGAGTTGCCACGGCTCACATGACGTAAGCATTTCATTTTAATATACAAGTTATAAAATTAAAGACATGCTATAAACGCCTGTTCCCATTCAAAATAATAATATGTATAGATAAATATAAAAAATGGTCTCCAAATTGCCATATCACCAAAAATGAGCATAATATTAGAATTTCATTTGAAAAAAACTGGAATATGGATAGGCAATTTTGGCATGACAATATTTATTCCCCTGCATCTTTAAGATCCTCTCTGTGAAAGAAGTGAAGTTCATTCAAATCATAAAACAAAATCATTACCGCTTCTGGAAACAGTCAAACTCCTCTTTGAGTGACTCATACTTTCTTAAAGTGTGAACCAAAGCATCAGAGCTTCCCTCAGGGTTGCTGCTCTGCTGTAGGCGTTGTACCTCGCGCTCTAATCTGTAGAAAAATTGTTATGTTAGCAAACTTCTTTCTTCTCTCTCGCTTCTTTTTCTCTCTTTCGCTTCTTTTAAACATTAGAGACAAGAATAATTTTTTTTTAATGTGAAAAAGTGGCAAACGAGCTGGCGGTTCACCTGATGTTAAGTGATAACCACCGCCCACGGAAATTTGCAACACCGGTTGCAGATGTGTTGCCACCTTTTAATAATGTTGGCCCCGGCTACCTCACTCACCAGACGTAACGTAGATAGACAGATAGGTCTTCTGTGAGATTGTCTATCAGATGATTAAATAAGTTGAATTTAACTAAGAAAATATGAAATTTCTTAGTTAAATTGACAAAAAGCTTCGGTGGTGAGGGATTGAAACCTGCATCTTGCGGGTAAGGCGTTGGAGATAAATTATGGATTACCTACGATTTCGTACATTCGCTTACCGTTGGTTATCGTTTAACAGATCGCCGTACTTGCCGCGAAGGCTACTCGCCTCTTGGGCAGACACCTCCAACTGGTTCATGGCTGCCCTGTGCTGGCCACGGAAATATTCCAGCTCCTGAAATTGATGCAATTGTTTTTATGTTCAATAAAATGTTTGAGAATTCGAACAAACTAAGAATTTCATAATGGGCAACATTATTTTTGTCTGCAAATGCTGTTGTTTCACAGAATTACGTATTTATGAAACGAATTTTTAAAGTTTGAATGCTTTTTCAAAAAAGATGATAGCACAGAGGTAAAGAGAGAGATAAAAATGTCTACTACAAGAGTTAAAAAAGAGATTTCTTAGATCTAATGACTGGGTTTGAGTATGTACAGTACATGAAATTGTATTGGATAAAAAAAATATGCAAAAGCAGTACATCCCATGTTAATTGTGGAACTTATATACAATACTAATTTATTAGTTTTTTTTTAAATACGATAATTCCAAACTTAATTACCTTCATAACATGCTCACATCTACGAGAGGTCTCAGTGTGCTGCCTCCTCAGCTGATTCAAGTCATGCAAAGCCTTCTCGCATTGCTGCTTAAGGCTCTCGTTGGTCTGCTTGTTGATGACGTCATACTGCAGCGGCTCATAGTTGCCGCTCATGCTGTGCCCATGGCCCTTCACGGAGTAGTTCTGTTTCTCATAGCACTGGTTCGCAGTGAGCACCTCATAGTCTATCTGGTGGGGTATGCTCTGAATCTGACTGGCGTTGTGACGTTCATTGTTCACATAACTATTTGATATTGATTCTGCAAAGAAAAAAAGTTGTTTACCCTCGAGGCAATTCAAATTCCATATTTGAACTTTCCATAATTAAACATTTAATTATTTTAGGTAAAATAGTTCTTGAAATGGTGCAATATTATATTGCCATGATTCTGTATACAGCCTGTCTTTACCATCGCGACAATAAATGAACACACATATAGGGGATAACTTTTTAAAATTGTATTATACATTTACATTCTTTAAACATCAATATTTATAGTTATTAAATTTTCCAAAACAAAGAATTTTAGAACACCCTTACGTATAAAACTGTAACGTAAAGTTAATTTGTAAAGGTCACGAAGCATATGAATGGGTTGAATGAATTTAAATCAGTATCGAGTTGTATAGGATGTAACAAATTTTGTTTCTTTTTTACTTAATTAGTTTGTTTGAAAAGTATTTTTTTTAATTTTAGATTTTGTTTAACATTAATATTTTTTTATGATTATTGGCAAGTAGTGTTAGACGTGTGTTCATTTATTGTCGCGATGGTAACAACACGCTGTATATAAAAATAATGGAAATGGTAATTTACAATTATTGAAAGAAACATATTTTCATTTGAAAAGTAAATAGATAGCAATAATGTCTTGGAAAAATTAAATAACTATGAAAACTTAATACCTACATAGAAATTGTATCAGCTAATAATGTTAACAGTCTTATGAACCATTCAGCTTATCTAAGCTGCAATGGTATGGAGCACATCATACTTAAGTCAATTAAGTCCCAATCACACTGGGATCAAGTAGACAAATAGATCAAACAATTTACTACAACAAAAAATGCCATTCGTTATATAGGAGGGAATAAATTAAGCAATTTTTATTAATTTCATCATATTTAGTTTCAATTTAAACACCCCATGTTTTAAATGTTTTGCAGCATGACCTTCATGGATTTTTTTGAGTTTATAGATCAAGGGAAAACATCACTCCATAAGATCCAAGTTTGGAGCATCTCATTGATAGGTAATGAAGAAAAATAACTTATTTTTGACAATATTATTAAACAAGCGCTTACCATTACTACCATTGCTCTCTAAGGATGAATTTTCAGATGCCATAATACTGCTGAAATAAAGTATATGAAATATAATTACTAAATGAAATTCACAATATTAAGAGCATTAACATGTCAATACTTCCTATAACCTTGTATTGTATGTGACAGTAATATTTTGCCTTTCTATGAATGCAATTGTCGTCTGAAAGAACTAAATGTTGAGACATAACAAAGGGAACATGCTAAATGCTTCTGCCATCTCTAATCAAACAGCAAGATGTAAGCTACAGTTAGCTATAATTAAACTACCATATATCCACCGATAATGTCTTGCAAAAGGAATTGTTAGTGTCCATCAGTGGGCAACTTGATGATATATAAATTATTTAGAAAATATATACCTTAAACGTACCTGAGATATTATGATCTGTAGTCCATTTTCCCTTCTATTCTATGAACCTACAAAGAAATTATTATCTAATTAGAAAAAAAAAAACAAACTGTAATTAGTATCGCATAGTTAGAAAACATATAGGGGTGCGAGCTTGACACGGTTTTCACGCTCTAATGATGGTTGCAAAATACGAAACCGCAAAAGCTATGGCCCTGTTGCAACTCAATGCTGTTTACAGAGATTGAAAATAAGAAACAGCATTATGATGCATGCTAAATAGGAAATCTTTTATTATATATCAATATTAGGTAATAGTATAATGATGAGATAAGTAAATACCATCACAAAACTGTAAAAACACCGAAAACTGAACAAAAACTCTCCTTTCCCTGCGTACTTACATCTTACGGCAACATCAATTTATAAGAATTTCACAATGTAAACATTTCTCGAACTATCAAGATTGTCAATTTATCGCAAAAGTAACACCTAACGTGTAAATTGGGGAAAATAAGACTGAAGAGAAGATAGATTTAACACGTATTTATCAGAAGCAATTTGCCAACAATTCCCGTTTCAGTACCTTTTTTAGCAAGTAAATGAGTGAATGAATGACGGACACAAAAGAGGACGGACATATTGAGCGATGTTGACAGCATGAAATTACGTTAAACGTTTGGATACACGGTAAATTAACATTTAATCCACCCAAGAAAGAAATGTTTAACAAATCCAGAAACAATAAGAAAAACTTATTAATCTTTTTCCTTGTTGTTTTAGTCTTGCAGTACTATGTTGTAACTTATAATTGAAACATTTCTTAATTCTTTGAAAAATATTAAAGCTATCTCACTCACCAGGAGAAAGGAGGAAGAATAACACTTCTTCACGCCGGTCTTCTATGAGTCCGGATTTATCCGGACAGACCTGCCCATTCGTGCAACAGCAAAAACTGTTGCGTTGCCCCACCACAGTTACAGTATGTTTACAGATTTAGTGCGTTTTTTTTTTAACATTATTTCCTGATGTTTCAAATACTCTTCAACGTTCATAGTCACGAGACAATGCCGTATAAACATAGTTTTATTTAGTAATGTTTAATCGCTTAAATACAAGAAAGTATTAACTATTCTCTAGTCCTTCTTAGATCTCAGGGACGAGCACATAATAATAATTGACTAAAGACCATAATAAGTTTGTACCCATGATTGAATGGTTAACAAATACAGCAGCATGATGTTCAATACGACCGTCAAACACGTACTTAATACTTTTAAGATAAGGTACAGTAACGTTAAAATTACGTAAATCGTATTATTTATTATTGTAAATCGCTAAAACGTTGAGTTTTATATTCATACTTATTTAAGTTTACAATGGTTAAATTAATTATAATTAAAATAACATTTATAAATTGTGTTAACTCCTCATTATTATTAGACAAGAAATAACATATTAACAAAGTATTTATTAAATGAATTTTCTGACTTTGACCTTCTGGCCCATGCAAACTGACATTTGCCGACAAATGTTTGTTTGTACGTGAATCCGAACTCTGTCTGTAGTACTATTTTCTCGTAATCGTCGTATCGAATAAATGACACGCAATAGCGAAGAACCAATAAAAAACGACGCGCAAATACATGAGTTTTTATAAATCAAGTGCATAACATACAAACTTTGTCGTGTAAATTAATTCTTATAGCATCCGTAATTGTTCCGTCATCCTTTTAGGCTATGGGGCGAAAAATATATTGTTTTGATGTTGTACAGGCATGACGACGGCGTGACTTCCATGCCCTGCGTTCCTACGGAAGGGCGTGCAGATTACGTTTACTATGAATGATTTTATCTCTTTCTAAACTCAAGTGTCTGTGAATGACCGAGTGTAATAGCGAGCGTACCGAATTATGGATTGAAAAGTGTTTGTTGTTGATGTATTTTGATATTTTCAACGCGTCGCAAGTGCTGTTATCACGTCCGGGAATCATTGTGGCGCGGGAGAGAGTAAAAGCGTAAGCGGTCATATGGCGCCCGTCGGACTACGCCGAACGAGGAATTGCTACGCCATTCGATTTATTACCGAGCGCTTTACTATTTACGCGCTATTGAAAAGAGATAGTACGTATTTTTAGTAGCTTCGACGGTTAAGACTAGAATTCGTCTGACTTTCGTCACGTAAACAACTTCAAGGTTAGGCGGTTGTCGGGTGTCTAAGTCTCAGGTCTGTGATGCGGACACGCTGACATGGCTGCGATATCGGCCGGAGGCGTCGTGGTGCGCCAAGGCCACCTGCGGAAGCTGAAGACGATGAAGAAGAAATATTTTGTGCTGCGGGCAGAAACTGGGGACTGTTCTGCGCGCTTAGAGTACTATGAATCAGAGAAGAAGTTTCGTGCTGGGGCAGCACCACGTCGTGTTCTACCCTTGAAGAGCTGCTATAATATAACTAGGAGGTTGGACTTGAAGCAGAAGCATGTGATTGCTCTGTTTACAAGGGAAGAGCAGCTGTGTATTGTTGCAGAGAATGAGCAGGACCTACATGCATGGCTGACTGCTATCCTCAAACTTCACCGCTCTGATGATGCTAGTGATGAATTGCTCCACCCTATTCGTAAGTCTTTACTTTCATATTTTTGCTTTAAACTTATTTTATTTATTTTTGTCCGTGTTGACTTGAAATATTCTATCATTTTGAAGGTTATGCTCAAATAGTTATTTTTGTATAGGATCAAAATATCTACAGAACATTTAATACCAAAATAAATATACTTTAAAAATTGTATGATCAAATAGTTATTTTTGTATTGGATCAAAATATCTACAGAACATTTAATACCAAAATAAATATACTTTAAAAATTTTCTGCATAAAATGTGATTGTAAAATTTTGTAATAAGGGTAACATTTTTATTAAGGACTCAAAAAAGTTTTCCCAAACAGGAAAAATATTAATTCATATTTATAGAAAAGGTTAAAAAGAAGTTATTTATATTCATGTTTTTAGAGATGCGATGTAGTGTAATTTAAAAAAAAAATATTTAATTTTATAGTAGTTAATTATTTTTATTTTATTAATTAAAAAAATATTCTCATATCCGACTTTTTAGTGGTGCCTACAGAATTTAATACAAGTCAATTAACATAAATACACTTTTCACCTGATTATCTTATTTGGGGCTAAAGTGAAGGGCCAATCACTTTATTTGTAGAAATTTTTAACCTACAAAGTTAATGATATTTCTTATTTTTTTTTAACATTATCAACTAAATGCACATCAAAATACCACTTGACTGAATAATAACTTTTTCTAATTGTAATAAACATTTCAGCATATTGCTTGCTTTTGTGTATTAAATTCAATTTCTTACTGTCACACTGTCAGTAGTGAACATTCATATCTCTGAAATGTAAGCTGTTGGCAATACATAAAATTTGTTTTACTTAATTATAGATAAACGTCTTATATTATTTTTCAAAACACCTTATCCCGTTACCAAATTAAGGAAACATTTCTTATTTCTAAGAGTAATTTACACCATTGTAAATGCCCCCATGGGCACATGCATTTTTGTTGACAAATATTTTTAATCCATAGAGAAACACCGAAACAATGACTACTAAGTAAGTAATAGTCGGAGACACATGGACTATTTAAAAAAAAAACATTGTCATAATTGACATCGCCCCGCTTTGTGGGGGCTATAAAAATGTACACCTAACAAACAGGCTCTATCAATATTAATAAATAAATGTTGAACCTATTTTATTACAATTTATAAATGATAATCTTTTTAAGTATCCTGTATTAGTGACGTCACTCTTTAATGTATAAAAATGTACACCTAATAACAAATCTAACATATCAATTTGAAATAACTTAATGTTGAACGTAATTTATGATTAACAATGTCTTTAAGTATAACTGTATTCTCAAACATGTTTAAATGTGAGTTTTCTCTTAAATTACTAATAGAAATAAATTTTGTACACACAATATAATGGGATATTTATTTAGTATTAAATTGCAAAATTTATTTATTTTTTCTCGAAATCTTAATTGTTCCCTCTATTATTTACTTAGTAATAAAGTAGTATATATTACTTATTATAAATAAATATTTATAGGTATATTAAAAATGCATGTGCCTCTATTGTAAACAACTACCATTTCACTGTGTAATTTCTAAACAGTTTTTATGGTAGTTTTTATTGGCAAAACTATTATGACTCTTGACCTTCAAATCGGTTTTAGATTATTTAAAGCATTTAATAAATCTAAAATAATAATATGGACTGTAAGCAGACATATTGGCATCTTATAGTCTTTTTCCATGCTGCAATACAACTTTTTTGCTACATTGCCTATGATTATACATACAAGCTGAGAGTAAAATAATCATAGTGATACTTGATTTTTTTTTAATTTACTTTGGAGTTTAAAGAGTTGTTTAAAGTTTTTGTTTGATTTTAACTCTCAATAAAATTCCTAGTGACACGTGTTGGAATTATGATTTTTTGATTTACTATATATGTTGTGTAATAATGTTGATTAATGCCAATGTTTGATTCACAATCAGCTATTTTTACTCTTTATGCTAGAATTTTCGTTATTCCATGGGTTTTTTTTTTAAATATTTATTTCAGTTGTGAAAAGCAGATATAACAGATTAATTTTTGATATCATTACCGAGAAATGAACTATTAATACTTGATATCAATAATATGGTTTCCTTGTCTACATTGTTTGCAATGTTTAACTTGATTTTTTTTCTTGTTGTTCTCTCTTACATGAATTCCCCTCTGATCTTAACAAAAGCCAATTGACCAATGTTCATTCTGAAATCAACCATAACAGAACTGCAGTAAAGTTTATAATCAATGTTTGGGTAACCGTGTTTATAAATTAAGCTAAAAGAAAAAAACAAATACGAGACATGGCATTGAATATTTAACTTTAAGGTCTCCTCTTTTGTATTTTTTATTCTACTTTTAATTCTTTTCTGAGTTGAGGGAGTTGAGGTCTATTTTATATTATTGAAAATTAAGTCAAATTAATTAAAATGTCACATAGATTCCAGTTTTAGGCAATGAATAAAATATTATAAAAATCAAAATTTAAAAGGACCAGAAGTAACAAAAGGTATATCAGTTGTATTCTTTGTAAGTGAAAACTTTAATACCATATACAATAACATTATTTATTTGATTAATATGACTTGAGAAATAATTTCTTTTCTATTAGCTATCTATTTAGTTATATCAAAATCTTGCGGGAATTATCATATCCCTAAAAATTTGTTATTTTTTGTCATGTAGATTAACTTAAATTCAAAATCAAAAAGTCATTATAAATGAATGTATATAAATGTCATGATTTTCGCGTCCTGAAGTCATTGCCTGCTTAGCAAATGAAGTAAAGCGTCTGGGTGTGAAACAGCAGCGCCGAGAGTTTTTGTTACTTTATCTAAAAAATGGACAATTTAAAGTCATATAAATTGAATATAAACTAAAGTCTGCCTTCTGAAATAAATACTGTTCGTTTTTATTTATCGTAATTTACTGTTGAATATTGTTTTACGGATGTGGCGTTTGATGTCTTTGAACTTTTTTTTAACACATAAATCCTTAATAAGTTTCGTGAAAATCATTCAAGTTAATTTATTTAATTATAATTCATTTATTTTATAACCATATTGACCTTTTAAACCAACTGTAATATTACAAATGGAAATATATTTTTTTTTACATGACCAACATTATAATTTAATTTATATTAAAATTTTTGAACAATACTTCCTGTGGGATTTTCCTCTCTAGAAACACTTTCTATAGAATTTAATTTCATTTATTCAGTTGTTTACCTACTTGTCGCCCGTTTACGTGGGCGTCATTAAAGCGCGAGTCAATGGGCTTTTATGAAACAAGTACATTCGATACACACAGCCGCATCGCCATATATCACCAGGTCAGGTTATCATAATAATCGTAATAGCCAGTCCGCTATATAAATATCTCATTACTTCAGTACTTTCTTTTCACAATGAAACATAAACCCTATGTACGATTAACGCGAGTTATCGAAGCATGTTTTGCATGCGCAAATTTGCGTGTGCCGACATCAGTATCCAAGGGTATTGATTACGTTATCCGCCGCTGGGATCGAACCCACGTCCCACGACCCACGGCGCTTGGCGATCGGTCTAACGCCGCTCGAGCACATGCTCGTCCACGTACGTTGCTCTTACGTATTTGGTTACGTGATACGTATGGCGTGACGTAACGCGCACGCACGCAGCCCGCAGCCGTCGGCGGAAAAGTTGCCGCGGAAACGGGCGGGGCCCGGGGGGAGGGGAGGCCTCAAGGCTGCCGGTGTCGGCGACCCCATGGGGCGCGGCGGGGAGGGGGGGGGGGGGGGGGGGGGGGAGGAGACCGTGGTAATGACATTCGGGCGAAGCGGCTGTGTGTGTGACGCGCGATGTGGGCGTGTTGCACGAGGCCCGCTAGCTGAAGGCAACGGGGCTTTTCGCCGTAGCGGCGTAGTAGCGACGGGGATGCGCCGAACGATTCGTTTGCCTTTTTTTTTTTATTTGGTAGCCTTTTCCCGCGCTTTCGTCAGATTCGTTGCAATTTTTGATTTTTCTCGCTAAAAGTATCCAATTTAACAATCAATGTGCCGTTGCATATTATATTAATACGGGCACGCACACTACCGCTCACCAGCCTCATTACTAATCGACGTCGAGGAACATTTACTAGACAGACAAGGAAACATTAATTTTTATGTTTTATTGTGATCGTCATAAACCCTCAGACCAAAGAGATTGTCTTCTACAGTGTTGCGACACTGCGACGAAATTTTTATGTTTTTTTTATGAATTTGACTAGTGTTGGAGCAATCTGGTTGTTACATTATGGTGATGGATTATTCTCCTGTTCCTGACGAATAATAACTCGGGAAGAAGGCATCTTCAAAAACCGAAAGCAAAATTTAGTACCTACATATAGCGCTCCCTATAACTTGATATTTTTTTGCTGCCGATTATTTAACTAAAAATTTGTCTATTTTTCTGTTATATTCGGTACTATTTGGTTTTTGTACTATTTACAAACCGCCTTCATAGGCGTTATACCTACATTTACAAATTATTATTATTGTTTTTTTTTATTTCTTTATTTGTTTGAATATGGTATAAAGATGTTGACAGTCATATTCCAATCGACAACACGGTCCAATCATATTTACATTCTATAGTAAAACGAAATGAGCGAAGCAAGGGGGCAAACTCTACAATAAGAGGATTATGTTATCTCGAAAAAACTGTCGAACCGATTTTGATGAAATTTTTAATAAGCCTTTAATGATCAAGGCTCAAGGCATCGGATGTCCGTAATTTTTTAACCATAATGATGGTGATAATTGGGGAAATATTGAGCGGCAAATTCTTTCGTTCCATTATTTTTGCTCCGTGTAATGAGATGCAGATGATTAATACATAAAACACGAAGACTATAGAATTTTTTTTTATGAGAACTTCAGGAAGAGATTGCAAGTATGATAAATTAAAATAATTTAGCTACATATCCATGTTATTTTTTTATACCGTTACAGT